AGGGACTGTGGGCTGAAAACTGGGGGGGAGGGCGGGGGAGTGTAGGGGGCAGGTTTCTAGGATATACCCTTTGGTTGGTGGATGATGCATGGAGGGAATTGGAACCATGGCAATGCGATGATATACGATGGAATGAATGTAAAACTAAAGTTCTCTCATGTAAACTACCATCTAATTCACAATAAAACGTTAAAAAAAAAAAAAAAATTTCTCCTTATGGAGAGAAGTTCAAAGAAGGCCCCCAACCATGGCCAACTCCAGTTCTTTTGTGTAATCTCTTACACTTGAATGTGAGGAGATTTATTGTCTCACTTCTAGGAATAATAAGATAGAAGCATAGGGATGGATATTCCTTCCAAAATTAGGTTGCAAAACAACCGAGGTATCTGACTTTATTATCTCTCTATTAAGCCATACCCCTGAGGAGAGATCCACGTGGTAAATAATGGATGGCATCAGTCACTGTTCACAGGACTGAACTTGGGACATATCTGACTTTCCCAAACTGAGCCTTGAGACAACTGTAGCCCAAGCCAACACTTGATAACCATGTTCTGGGAGATCCTGGTCAGGGAACCAATCTAAGTCACCCCCAGAATCATGACCCACAGAAACTAAGACTAAAAACTAACCCTTTAATTTGGGGTCTCTTGTTGTGCAGCAAAGGTTAACGAACATTTCGTTCTCAGTCTCCCTACCTAAATTTACAGTAATATTCAACAAAATTATATTGTCAGAAGGGAACAGTCACTGGAGAAGGATATCATGTTTGGTAAGATGGAGGAGGGTCAGAGAAAAAGAGGAAAACCCCCAATGAGATGGATTGGCCAAGTGGCAGCTTCCATGGACTCAAGTGAGGCAACAGTAGTGAGGTTGGACCAGGATCCAACAGTGTTTCAATCTGCTGTGCATAAGGTCCGTTATGGGTGGGTACCGACTCAATGGCACCTATCAACAACAAGAACATTGGGTAGTTGGAGTTCTGGTGTGGCACTGTGGGCTAGTGTGTCAAGCTCACCAGCTGCTCGATGGTGACCCTATACAGGGTTGCTACGAGTCAGAATCGACTTGATGGCACTTAACATTAAGGCATTCTGGTAGCATAGTGGTTACGAATTTGGCGCGAACCTTAAGGTCAGCAGTTCGAAACTACCAGCTGTTCCGCAGGAGAAAGATGAGGCTTTCTGCTCCCGTAAAGATCTACCGCTCGGAAACCCCTGTGCAGGCTCACTATGAGTCGGAACCGACTCCACGGCACATAACAACAAAGGACTGAAAAGGCCCGTGAATCGTATTCTTCTTTTAAATTGAAGCCAACTGCTTTAACCCTCATCTGGCTTCTACTCTGAATTGTTCTCCCCCAAATTTATGCATGACCACGTTTTCTCCTTATTCAGGTTTCAACTGAAATATCACCTCCTGCAGAGGCCTGACGCCTTTTCTGGTGATGGTGGCGTGTGATGGAGTCAGTTCAGACTCACAGCGACCCTGTACTGCATTTCTGAGGTTGTAAGTCTTTACGGGAACAGAAAGCCTCCTCTTTCTCCCAGGTAGTTTCGAACTACCAACCTTTAAGTTAGCTGCCCAACTCGTAACCACTAAGCTCTCAGAGCTCCTACTTTTCTGTGCAGCCATTCTAAAGCAGCCAAAGGCTACTTCCAATCACATGGCCCCCACCCCCAAGTGTCTCCATAATGTGTTGTTGTTGTTAAGTACCCTGGAGTCGGTTCTGACTCATAGTGACCGAGGCTGTAAATCTTTACGGAAGCAGAATGTATTACTACTTAATATATCCTTATTTATTCAGTAATTGGTGCATTTAATTTCTCCCCGTATGTCCATGAGACTCTTCACAACTATTGTGCTCTTTTTGTCTGAAACACAAGAAGGATTCAGTAAGTATTATCCGTGTACTAAAACTGGAAAACAAAAACGTGGGAGCACGCCCGAGCAGAGTTAAGTGGAGATGTCAGGACTAGCAGGTGAAACCAACAAGCCCAGTTGCCCAGCCCAAGACGCTGCGTCCGGCACAGGCACCAGACACGGGGTGGAGGAGCTGACCCACCCTCGTAGAGTCAGACGCTTCCCTTCCCCCCCTCCAGGACCCGGGGAGAGGCGCAGGAGGGACGACTCCGAGAGTACTTTACCCGAGTCTCCCCCGGGCACCGACGGGGGCAGCGTGAGGGTGAACACGGCGGCCACAGCAATGAACACCGCAACGCAGCCGCGGAGACCCCCAGAGCGCCGCGGCCCCACCTGGGCTGCCTGCCCCCGAGCCAGGTCCTTGCCGTCTCCATGGAGACCCATAAACCAGTGAGGGCCAGGGAAGAAAGAAACAGCGTCCCTGAAGCTTCGGTGTGGCAGGTAGCTTCCTAGCCAGCTGCAAGTACAGTCTGCAGGCTGCCACCGTGACTTCCGGGTTCAGCAGGCACAGGTCGGACTGCACCATTTTCTGCGAGGACGGTAAACAGAGAAAATGGTAAACCTCGCAAGAACCAGCCCAGGAAGCACTCCCGTAACAATCCATACTTTGGGTTTACATTTTTTAAATGAACTTTAAAATAACAAATAATAGGGGTGGATAATTCTCTTAAGAAAGCGAGACTGGACACAAGTCTGTCATCTCTATGACTCTTCCCCCTTTCGACCTAACTTGGTCAGTTCTGGATAGACGCAGGCTCGAAAACCAAGAGTGAAGAAACTTATGTACTGCCCTCTATGGTGTGGGGTGGAACTACAACTTAGCTAAAGTCAAAAGACCATGGCCATCTCCCTGATTCCTGCTTTTTGTCATTAAGTGCCTCCGAGTTGATTCCGACCCATAACGACCCTGTATAGGGTTTCCAAGGAGCAGCTGGTGATCTTGAACCACCGATCTTAAGCCATGCTAAAAGACATGGTACAACTGCCTCGTTGGGTTTCTAAGGTTTTAATCTTTATAGAAGCAGATTGTCCCATCTTTTAGCCCACAGAACGGCTGGTGAGTTGGAACCGCTGACCTTTCTGTTAACAGCCAAAGAAGTTTAACCACTGAGCCATTAGGACTCCTAAGATAGCTTTGTTGTTGTTAAGTGCTGTCAAGTCTGTTCAGAATCATAGTGACCCTCTATAGGGTTTCCCAGAAACAATTGATGTGTTTGAACTGGCGAGCTTGCAGTTCAAACTGACCTTGCAGTCCAGTGCTTATCCTACAGTGCCACACCAGGACTCCTAACATAGCTAGGCAACTAAAATGTGTTCACACAAGAAATATCTTTACAGTATGTGAAGCTGTCGGATAAGCCCTGGACTGTCAACTGCAAGGTCAACGGATTAAACCCATCAGCCGCTCCTCAGAAACCAAATGTTGGTTGTTAAGATGGCACTTAACAAATCCGTTTTGTTGGTTAGACTGGGAATTAATAACGCCAAGATACCAGGTTCGATCCCCATATTGGTCAGGATGTAGTGGGTTACACACTTGTTGGGCTGCTAACTGCAAAGTCAGCAGTTCCTATTCACCCACAATCCTGTATAGGGTTTCTGAGGTTATAAATTTCTGCCAGGGTAAAAACCCCCAGGCTCCCATAAATATTACAGCTTTGGAAGTCCTATACAAGGTAGCTATGAGTGAGTGGAAACCTATTCCATGACACACACCAACAACAAAAGTAAGCCAATAAATACTTAACCACATGTTTACTATGGTTACTTATAAGCCTGTGGGCTAATTATTAAGTCATTAAGTAATTTGAGAGAGATTAAGATAAACTAGTTGGTTTATTTTGCTTTTTCTTGTAGCATAAGGAAAACTTACACAGGTGAGTTGGGAAACTTGAGTTGCTATATTCATACAAAAGCTCATACTGAGATAGAAGTTTCTCCTATTTAACAGAGAGAAAGAGTTTGGCCAAGCTTTGACTACAAAGTGGGAAATCAAATTGGCACAGTATGAGAAGGCTTCAAACAGTTTGTGAAAAAAAATGGAATTAAAAGATAATGGGATTTACCCACAAGCTTTTTGAAGCCCCCTTACACTTCCCACTTAGCAGCAATGCGCAAAGGGAATGAAGGTTATTATTGGACAAACATCGTAACATGGCTCTTTGTTGTTGTTGAGTGCCGTGGAGTTGGTTTAGACTCATAGACACCCTATATAGGGACGGTTTCAGAGCAGTGGTTTGTTGTTGAGTTCCCTCGAGTTAGTTCTGACTTATAACGAACTTGTATGAGGTTGGCTGGTGGATTTGAACAGCCAACCTCAAAGTTAACAGTCCAGTGCTTCTCCTACAGTATCCTAGTATACCTAGGAAGTATCCTAGCAATTATTCAGTTGGGGAAGGGGAAGAGAGTAACTTCCATGGAATGCGCCTCAAAAAACACTAGAAATCAATGACAATTTAAAATGTGTTACATGCAATCTGACATACTGTCTCGACTTTAGAGAAATATACAACGATACGGATTGGCAGTCATTGTGCCAGCCTGCCGGCTTTAGTCTTTGTAAGGTACTGAAATGAGGAGGCTTCAAAAAGTTTGTGGGGAAATTCCGTCTTTGCATGCCACTTTTGAAGTCCCCTGGTATAATGGTTCCCAGCTACTTTGTGAGTTCCTGGACACCAGGGCCTGTGTGGTAGACTGCGTCTAAAATGACCCCCAGTGACCCCTGACTCCTGGTATTTAACCAGATGCCCTAGAGTCAATTATGGCTCATGGCAACACTGTGAGTGTCAGAGTAGAAATGAACTCCAAAGTGTTTTCAGTGACTTTTTTTGGCCAGCCCTTTCTTCCCAGGGACATCTAGATGAGTTCAAACCTCCCCACTTTTTGTGTGTAGCTGAGTGCATTAACCATGAACTGTTTGCACCATTTACGTACTCCTGTGTCATTAACCTCTGGATAATTCTTTCCATTTACATTGTGGGCTGGACCTAGTAACAGGTCCAGTTCGACTAAAATCATGCTACCACTTTCTGAGGTTAGGTTATAGAAGATTCACTTTGCCTAGCATGCCCTCTCTCTCTTGACACGCCCTCTCTTGCTGTCTTCCTTGTTCCCTCTGATCAAATCAGCTACCATGTTGCCAGCCACCCCTTGGAAAGATCCACATGGCAAGATGAGGGACCCCATCAGCCAACATCCAGGAACAGAACTAAAGTTGTCAACCCAGAACTAAAGTTGTCAACCCAACAACGTGTGAAGCGCTGAGCCCTGTCAATACCACATGAACGATCTCGAAAGTGGGTCTTTCCTATTTGTGCATTGAGATGACTATAAGCCCTACCAAGACCTTGAGGGCAGTCTCTGAGAAACCCTGAAGCAGTGGGCTCAGCTAAACCTCACCCGGATTACTGTACTACTGAAAGTGAAATAGTAAATGTCATTGTTATAGGTCACTATGTGTGGGACTAACAAAGTACAGCAAGCAAGGAGCCCTGAGTGGTACAGTCAGTTAAGTATCGGGCTGCTAGCTAAAAGTTAAGCAATTTGATCGCACCAGCTACTCCGCAGGTGAAACATGCGGCCATTTGTAGCTGTAAAGATTTACAGCCTCAGAAGCCCTATGGGGCAGTTCTACTCTGTCTTACGCGGTACCTGTGAGTCGGAATCACCTGGATGACAGTGGGGTTTTTATGTTGTTGTTGTTGTTGTTACTCAGTAACATAACTGAAACTGTCTGTCTTCAATGTCTGTTCTGGAGGAACATGCCAATGGATAATACTAACAAAGCCAAGAATTTATGCTCTTCTTAGCTTTGTTTTGCTTTCTAACTTCTGCTCATGCCCTGTCTAAAAAGATACAAATTTTACCATGGAAAATTCCTTTGAAAAGGGCATCATTCTCTGCCCATGTTTGGGAGTTTGAAATCAGAGCTAGACTATTTGGGAGCTGTTCACAGAAAAACAGAAAAAACAAGTTGTCAAAGGTGTGGTGTAGAGAGCGAGCACAAGATGAGATCAAGCATTAGGTCATGTCTCTGTTTAGGGGATGGGAAGAGAACAGCAGGAGAACCAAGGTGTCACAAGAAGCAAAGGAAGAAGTCATTGCAATGAAGACTCTAGTCAAAAACAAAGGTGTCACAAAGAGGTGAAAAAGAACTCATCTAGGCTCTACATTAAGGAGCTCTGGTAACGTAGTGGTTACAGATCGGGCTGCGAGCTTGGTCAGCAGTTTGAAACTACCAGCTGTTCTTCAGGAGACAGATGAGGCTTTCTGGCTCAGGGTTGCTATGAGTTGGAACCGACTTCATGGCACATAACAACAACAAAAGGCTCTACATTGCCTGAGTTCATATCATTTGTAGAATCCTCTTTATAAGGCTGGAAGCTATGCCAACAATATTT